CTGCATCCCAGTGTCAGACATTTAAAAAATGGAAATAATATCAGTCCTGAACCCCTCTGAAGGTTAGTTCTCACAATGACAGCAAGCACTGCACTGTGAACCAGGTGCACCATTTAACACAAGGACTTTCAGAAGAAACCAAAACAAATAATGTACTTTCTTACTTTTCCAAATTTTAGAGCCAACAATCATGATCCCAATAATAAGAATAAGCTGCCTTGAAAATAGTATTTACTATATTCTACCTTCAAAGCTGTGAATATAACACTTATACACTAGTGAAAACCTGCCTGTGTGGTAATCTCCAGGCCCTTATTCTCGAAACGTCCATAGCCCTAAGAATTCATAACTTTGATCGTAGCCAATGTGTTAAGAATGGGCATAAGAAGTTCGTAGGGCTACGAACGTTTCGAGAATAGCTAGCCAGGTCTGCTCCAGTATTATCGACACAAATCATCCCGTCTTCTACTCTATATATTACCAGTGACTTAAGAGCTCTCTACTATTACAAGTCACATTTAGGCATATCCTGAAGGGTTGTTCAACTGACATATATATGGTTCAAAGTTATAATTCGACCTCACTCAACACTGTGACCTTTCCCTGAAAGTCATTTTAGGGCGTATGGAAAAATGGAAAATTTCCACTCCATGTATCCCATATGCTTGGTTTGAAGTTTGACACCATTAATCTGCTGGTGACAGGTTTGAATTATGGAATTTAACCTTTTTATATCATTTTGGGGATACATTTTGGAACAGATGCTTGAACAAGTTACAAAGGAACTAGCATCTTTACAGAAACTTCCATTGAACAAATAAAGAAGTTGAAATCCATAAATAACCACGTCTTGAATGAAACTAGTTTTAAATATCCATTTATATAACAATGATAAATGTGTTGTATATACTGGTTTCCAGCATATTCCGTATACCTTATAGGTTGTGTTGTTATATCACTGATAACATATCGCTGTAGGTGTATCACTGATCACTGATACAGAACATAGGTGTATCACTGATCACTGATACACTGACACTCTTCCTGACAACAACAGGTGTATTGGTCGATACACCTACACTCTTCCCTGACAACAACAGGGGTATTGGTCGATACACCTACACTCTTCCCTGACAACAACAGGTGTATTGGTCGATACACCTACACTTTTCCCTGACCACCAGATGTGTATTGGTTGTTATACCCCCACTTCCGGTCTCGTTGTCATTGTTTCCTTTGTTAAAAGTGTAGGTGTATTGACCGTACACCTGTCAAAAGTGTAGGTGTATCAATGATGCACTACAGTTTTCACAAATTGTAGTAATTCATTTTCATTGACAAGCTCACCAAAACGGCGGTTGTCTTGATCAGTCGTTAACTTAAAATCTTCCTTATCATCCAGGTCGAAAAATGTAACGCCAACGAACTGTCAATTTGAGAAGAAAATCCTCTGTCCACTCTTCAGAATCCATGGCCGACCAGAGCGTGTGATCTTCCAAATATTTTCTATGCCACATGCGAAGTCAGAGAACGCATGCGCATTGGTCTGTCCATACAAATGTCAATTATCAGTAATATTGCGCGCGATATTTGGGTCTACTTGAAATCATTCTCGCGCCGAACTGGTTTTAAAATCTTGTGAAATCGTGCAAGCCCGTGCAATCGACTGCTTATAGTCTGTTTAGTAGTGAAAACGATACCGATGAATATCACTTAAAAAAATGTAAATCAAATAAAAGTGAAACTGAAGATTGCAAATCCCCATAAATTTACCTTGCCTATTGAACATTTAAATCTCATAATTATATTCAGCTTAGGATAAAAGTTGTTTAACAAATGATCATAGTTTCAAAGCGTACTGTTATTGGTTTGTATTACAAGGGGTATGCATTAAATGAAACAACGAGAACATGCAGGTTTGAGTCGGTTAACGGCTCATTACATTACCGCCGCGTGTATTTGTTTCACTGTTCCAACTACTGCACTTACCCCTTAAAATTGTAATACAAACCAATATTGATTTGAAACTATGATCATTTGTTAAACAAATTTTATTCTAAGTTGAATATAATTCTGAGATGTTCATTTAACAAGGTTAAATTATGAGATTAGCAATCTTAATTTCATTTTATTTGATTACTTTTTTTGTTTAAAGTGAAATTGATCGATGCGTTTTTCACTGCAAACAGACTATAGACGCTGGACATATGAGGGTCTTAACCAGTGGGCTAAAAATAAATGAAACAGATGGAAAACAAATACATTTTTTGTCATTCTTAGAATATAAAGTGTTATAGTAAACTCATAACTCGACCAGAGTGAGGGATAAGTCAGATGTACCTACACTTCCTCGATTGTATTCGCTCAATACCCCTACTGTTTGAGTGGCAGGTGGTCTCCCTCTGGCGCTCGGAGGCCACCACGACTCAAACAGTAGTACTTGAGCCGACACAAACGGCTGCAAGTGTGGGTACATCTGACTTTACTTTTCCCTGACCACCAGATGTGTATTGGTTGATACATCTACACTTTCCCTGACCACCAGATGTGTATTGGTCGATACACCTACACTTTTCCCTGACCACCAGATGTGTATTGGTCGATACACCTACACTCTTCCCTGACAACAACAGGTGTATTGGTCGATACATCAACACTTTTCCTGACAGCAACAGGTGTACTGGTCAATACACCTACACTTTTCCCCTAATATAACAGGTGTATTGGTCAATACACCTACACTTTTCCCTGACAACAGGTGTATTGGTCAATACACCTACACTTTTAACAGAAGAAACCATGGAGTGAGTGAGTGAGTTGGGTTTTATGCCACTTTTAGAAATATTCCAGCAATAACATGGTAGGAGGGGAGGAAACCATGGAAACAAGATAAGAAGTAGGACATAACAATCTGCAGCACAGATGGGGATGTCCTAACACCGTAGTTCCGACCCCGTGACAATGTGGACTGTGCATGATCATTGAGCTCATGCTCTCAATCACTATTATGTCTGGTTAGTTTTGATGATCTCCAGATGCCACGATATAGCTGAAATATTGTTGACCATGGCATTATAAAACATTCACTCACCACTCGTTCATTCACTTAACCATGGTCACAGATTAAAGTAACCTTGTTGGAAATACGGTTTCAGATAGAAAGAGTGAGTGAGTACCATTTTACGCCACTTTTAGAAATATTCCAGCAATATCACCTCGGGAACACCAGTAATGGGCTTCACACATTATACCCATGTCAGATAGAAAGAAGTTTATCATGATCAGCAAACTCAAACAGTAACCACGAACAAATGGTCAGTGAGAAGAATTGTGATATGGATCAGAACAGAAGAGACTACCCTATGTAAGATGACATCTTTCTGTGCTCACCGACCATGTCATGCCTTAACTATGAAATGTCCTTCAGTAGATCATATGTCAACTGTCATGAATTATGCATGTTTCGGGGCAATAAATGTCCTATGGAGGAATTAATCTTACATATAAATCAGATTAAGAGTGTTTTACAACCTACATCTGTAAGCTGTCACTTTTCGGAAGAATATTACTATACATGTACTTGGTTAAACAAGGTCACAAGTAGGTTGATGAAGACTTGTAAAAATCTGGAACATTACATATTTTCCCAAAAATGTAAATATATACTTGACAAAATAAGTTAGGTATATTGGTATTTTTATGATTGATTTTTTATCAGTGTGTCAATAAATAAATAGATCATTATTCATAATTTCAAAATTTACATATATCCCTTACTATTTTTGTCCAGTATATTTCATAACCCAATTCTCTAAGGGCCCTGATGGTGATGGGTTGCAAGTCATTCAGTAAAATTTTGGGCCTTCAGTCACTTGTAATCATTTTTAGCTTAGTCATCAAAAAATGCTTTCTGTATCCTATTTATTTAGTAAAGATGTTGCAAACTGGAATCTAAAGGTGCAGTCATTTCTATGGAAATGTGGTTCGTCAGTCTGTCTGTAGGGAAACATGGGCACAGTGTATTTATTACTGTATGTCTCTTTTGCAATTACCAAACAAAGGGTTTGTTATGTTATTAGAAGTACAAGAGACTTTCCTTATAGCCAAAGTTTTGGTTATAATGGTGTGCATACTCTGCTGGGTAATGCCTACTGAACTAGCGATAAATCTAAGTCATTCTTCGGTTAGTAATAGCCAAATTGTGGATTCTAGGGATCATTTCTGTTTTTACTGACTTCACTGACCTTTAAATGCTTTTTCAATGCACATTCCGTATGTCCAATTTCCAAAAGTCACAGACTCCTGGTAATTCTACTGACTCATTCACTGTGGAACAATTTGCTTAGTTGACTTAAGTGTTCCAGGATATTCCTGCCGAAAGACAACACCACTACACAATTCCCTCCACATGAACTTATCCACCTGTTACATTTCACTTGAATCTTATGATTGTCACTCACAAGATGTTTCATGCTAAACAGTATAGGTCATTAGAACCCTCTTAATAATAATAATATGTGTACTTATACTGCGCCTTACACATCTTCATACACAAGGTGTATGTACAAAGCATTACAAAACATTATTAACCCAGTCAAAGGGTCAGTGTGCACTATTACCGACGCTGCCTGTGGGGTGCTAGAAGGTAAACAGCCATTTGGTCATTCCATCCCACCGGGTACCCATTCACTGCTGGGTTTGCCCTTGGCTACAGTGAGCAGTGGATTACATGAATACAAATGGTAAACTATGGGGTTTGTATGCAAGGCACAAATGAAAGTGTCATTCTTTCTTCAAACCATTTGAGAAACAGCAAATTCAATGAACTAATTCATGAACATTGGGTTTGAAAAGCTGAAAAGAAAAATATTGCTCTTAAACTGATAGTATGTTCCCCATTATAATTAAAGTGTGTCTGAAACAAATCTAATGATTTTTATGACATTGTTTAAACTCTATTCATGCTATCTCTGAAATGTGAAAGAAGGGAGACAACTCACCACTCTGAAGGGTCCACTGAAGATGATGAAGAAGACGAGGCCAAACCCTGCCATGATGAGTGGAGGCAGGAAGCTGAGCAGCCACCCAAGGGCCATCCCCCATACAGGCAGGTGTTCTGTCCCTTGGGGAACTCTCACTGTCTCCTCAGACAGAACAGAGAGACCGATGGTGATCTGTAAATAAAAATAAAGATAAATGAAACTCTTACTATCAGATGAGGAACAAAATTACAAAAAAATAACTTTCACTTTAGTCCGTTTGGCTTCTTTTGAGACCAATGAATTGCTCACTAACACAAAATCTAATGCATACACCAAAATCAAACTTTGCACAGTCACATGAGGGAGGGAGGACCACTTGTTGGTAGAACAGCCAGGTAATCAACAAGCGGGCACAGTGAAATTTCAATTTCACACGTACAACTCACACATGTATTAGATTTTGTGTCAGTGAGCAATTCATCAGTCTCAAATGAAGTCAAACGGACTGAAAACATTTTCAGTTCAGAAGAATGATGATATTTTTTATGGATATACAACTTTTTTATTCTGTGAAAGGCAACATTTCGACATAGATTCTAATATCGTTGTTAAGCATGTGACAGAATAAAGAAGTTGTATATCCATAAAATTGTCATTATTCTTCATCAACTCAACTTCTAAAATACCCGTCTCATTTCATCAAATTAGCATCAGATGAACAACGGTTTCATTTAAATAGCAAGGTTCATACAATTGGGACTTGAAGAGATATACCATATTTACTCTAATAAGTGCACTGACCTCCAGTAAAACACAAGTGGTCATCTCTAATAAGCACCATGTCTCTAAAAAACACCAGGCATGTTATATTATACTTGATACTACTAAATATTAACTGTTTTATTAGTGATTATAGCCAATATGCATCACTGTAGTTAGAACATTGACAGATAGAATTTCAGTCCCCACCAGGCATCTATTGCCCACCCAGTTTGGAAACTTGTTCAAAGAATAGATGCTGAGGCATTCATTGGAGGAACTATGGTAGCCCAGCCTGGTCACAGAGCATGGCGAGTGAGTCACACTTTACTACCCATTTACAGATACTTGCTATGCTCTCCTTTGTTTTACTCAGAATGACAATAGCATCTACAGACAATAATACTCTTTAGACTTATAACATACCTACATTTGTGTCAACATCATGATTATTCGATTAAATAATTTAAATAATGTTATGTAAAATATAAATCAAGTGAGTAAATACACCAAGCACCTGACATTAGCAATGTACAATACTGTAAACGATATATATTTCACAAGAGGTTTTATTTTTCAACAAGCATAAAACATTTTAGCCGAAAACTTTATACACCAGCTTAATAAACCTTTCATTCATTCAGTCTATCCATCTGGCGCCCTGAGTTGTTACCATAACACATCACGCTTTGAAGACAGAAATCAACGGAATCTTAAAATGTATCCCAGTCTTAAGGGAAGGCTTGTTTGAATATTTTATGTCTGCTTCAGTCATTTTGCCTGCTGTAAGTACAGTAAATTTTCAAGTTCAGTGCCTGTTGTAAGTATAATAAATGTAAAGGTTCAATGCCTCTTGTAAGTATAATACATTTAAAGGTTCAATGCCTCTTGTAAAGTATAATTCAATGCCTCTTGTAAGTATTATAAATTTTTAAGGTTCCCTGTTCTAAGTTTAAAGGTTCAATGCCTCTTGTAAGTATTATAAATTTAAAGGTTCAATGCCTCTTGTAAGTATAATAAATCAATTCTTGTAAGTATAGGTTCAATGCCTCTTGTAAGTATAATAAATTTAAAGGTTCAATGCCTCTTGTAAGTATTATAAATTTTTAAGGTTCAATGCCTGTTCTAAGTATAACAAATTTAAAGGTTCAATGCCTCTTGTAAGTATAATAAATTTTTAAGGTTCAATGCCTGTTGTAAGTATAATAAGTCATGGTAGAATATATTCAATAGTGTCTATCCTCATCTATGAATCATGCTCACCACAAGGAATAAGGGTGTGCCAAGTTTCCACATCCACCTCATACACGGGCTCTCCGCACTGCCAGTCATGTCTGATATACGCGTTGCAAATCTCCGAACTCCATACAGCCACATGGTAACAACTATCTCCAACAGGCATATACATGGGATGGCCACTTTGTATACATATTTGTCCAGTAACTGAACTACATACAAGCCAGCCTAAAACAGAAAAAACAACATTTTTATGTCTTGATGTAATAAACTTAATAATAAACATACTTTCTATATCAAAATCTGATTTATGAACATCTATAAGTCTCCAGAGCTTATCGCTAATCACTGACTCAAGTGAGATAAATCGATTATTCAATCAATCACTCCATCATATGCCTTAACAGGGCATATGATGCACAATCAGCCAATCAAACACTGTATCCCCATTAGCAGGGCAGTTATTTGTTTTACGTCATGGGGACATCTGAGTTTCACAAAGCGATCGTACCGCTAAGGTGATCGTAACTCCCATACTTTAACAAAGACTTACGACAGTCGTAGTGCTATGATCGCTTTGTGAAGCGGGCCCCTGGACCATAGTGTCCCTGCAAATCAATCATATAATAGGTTCAAACAGCATCTTCCTGCCAATCACCTGTGTGGCCATTGTGAGGCTGATGGAGAACAGGATGATGAAGATAATGAAGAGACAGATGATGCGTTTGACATGAGTGTCGAGATGCAGCTTCCAGACAACCTCAGCGTGGATGGTGTGGAGGAGGATGGCCTGGGTGCTGACCCCCGTGATGAAGAGTGTAAAGTAGAAGATGACGGACCACAAGGGGGGAAACGACAGTGATGAACTTACTGCCGGGAAGATGACAAACCCAAAGTCAATGTCTGAAACATATATATATATATTACTTCTCAATTAGTCCCCATCAGTTTAATTACCTGTCTTACAGAATTATACTTGTAAAAAGTAGGGAAAGGAAACTTAAATATTGATCACTTTCTAAAGAAATGAGTGACTAAATGAATATGTTTATTTTCCCTATTACCGGTATCTTATTATTTTGTGTGTTACACATGCCAAACTGTTTGAGTTAATTTCTTTGAGGAATTAGTAGTATTTGTTGGAGTCAGTGAGAGAGAACAGTCAAAATATGAACGTAGCTGTAAATTTGAAAGTAGAGGTTACTAGATGTATACTGTCTGGCAAAAGAAAGCATACACTTAAAAAACTGGATTTGACCCCAAAATTACAAACATTATCAAACTGAAAACAGTCACCAAAATAATGCAAACTTAAGGTCGAAACTATGATATAAGTAACAGATACATCTCAATTGAGTAACCATTTCTTGTTCATTTCATTCTTAACCTTTATTAAACATGGGTGTACACAAGACACGTATCTTATGGATAACTTCTTTTTATTCTTTATACAACATTTCAGAGCTAATTCTTACTCCTTCATACAAAAAGTTGTTATCCATAAAAAACGTGTCATGTATTCATGTTCATCCAACATGGAAATGCCTTTCAAGAACTTTAAACATGGGTGTATATTTCTTTTTTATGGCAGTTTATACATTAATTTTACTGTTGCATATAACATGTGAACTGTGATAGATGAAGATGTGATTGTTTACTTGTGAGTGTGAGGTTGCTGATGAGGTGATTTGATGACAGACTGTAGACACCCAGCATTGAGAACATGCAGCAACCACCTATTGTTGTCGTGGCGATACTTGCAAACGTCACACACAAGCAGTTTCTGAAGAAAAAAGAATGAAAAAAAACTGAAAAATAATTCACTTAAGACATAACTTAATCTTGTCGAGGTCCTTATACTAAATGATATGTGCAAAACATTTCTGAAAAATGTTTTTACAAAATATTACAAGCTAGGCAGTTATGTGAAGCCGTGAAAAGTTAAAGGGAGACAACTTTTGAGGCCTTAGATAGAATTCAATCAGTGGATGTGCTAAAAAATGTTGAAAGTGAAGTGAAACACATTCTGATTATTGATGTTGTAACAAAGTGTGTACAATAAAGTGTACAAGTCAGTGATAAAAACACTTAAACTATTCTGATATCGACCATCTAAAAGTCTACCAGACTATCATCCATAGCCATTGGCATTGTGTGTTCACCCACCTGAAACAATGGCTGCCGAGATGTGCGTATCCCGATAAGGTGATGATACAGCCTGTACCACAGCCTAGTGTGGTCAGTACAAGGCGACACCCATCTGCCCACACCTTCAGTATACATGTGGAGAGAAATGAGACTCGTTTAAATCACCATACAGAAAATCAACACAACAATATCTTCTCTTCTCAAATCTTTATCGAATAATCAGAATTTAGTTTTTAACACATCAACTAAAAATCGTCACTCCTGGTAAATTAAAATTACTACTGGCAAACAAGGTTAAGTTGAGCACCGATCTGACAATTGACCCGTATTAGCATGTATAAGTGCCACCCACTGGCGCTTGCCATTGTTAGCGAAGGGGCCCCAGGTTGTCCGCGATCAACTGCTGTGGGTGAAGCGCGTGGCCTGTCTCAGCAAACACCGAGTTCGACAGTGGCAACTACGAGTGGAATCAATTTCATCGTCATGCAATGCACGTGCACTAGCCTACATCTGCTCTACCTTTCACAAACCAAATGGGCCTCTACAAACCTCCTCAGTGACTAATTAATCCTAATTGTCCCAGTAGCAAATCAGTTACCACCTTACTGACGAGGCCTAATTGATCTTAATTGGTCACACCAGTTGTCCCAGTTTTGGCAGTGAGATACAACACCTGCATGGTCCAGTGCACAACAGACTGCCAAAAATGGGAAATCACCGTGTGTACTCATTGCTCAGCACCACCTACTTCTCGTAAACGCGTTCTATGCGCCGGTCCAATTAATCCTTGTTTGCCAGTAACTAGAAAACTATAAATGAATTAAACAAAAAATATTCTTCTGTATACGTACATATACCTTAAGCCTGACAACTTACACTTTCAACAAAAATGATGCATACAACTTTATGGATGACAACTTCTTGACTTGATAACAATGTAAGAATCTACATCGAAATGTCGCTCTGTGCAATAAACAAGAAGTTGTCATCCATAAAGATATATGTTTCATTTTTGAATCAACAACTTCTAGAATGCCGATCAAACAATTACTGAACACATTCAGCTGACATATGTAGATTTATATCAATAAAAGTATGTTATTGTTTTTCCTAACTTTACGTGAATGTTTTTAAAGGTTTCATTTTCTTAAACTGAAATATATTGTAACACTGTATACTAAGGGTGCATTTAATGGAATAATATACAACTAAGCATTAAAACCTCTTCCTTGGTCCTGCTACTAGTGAAATACATGATGCCTCTACAAAGCAATAACAGTAGCTAATAGTTATATAAGTTAATAGAAATTTGGAAAAGTTTAATGCCAACTTTGAAATTTCTAATGACATTTGCTTAAGACTTGCAACCCTTTGAGGATGTCCCTATACAACTTTGCAAGCATAATTTTAGTAACACTTGCTTTTTTGTTGTTATTTGACAGAGCACTCAGCAATATTCAAGCTATATGGCAGCGGTCTGTAAATAATCGAGTCTGGACCAGACAATCCAGTGATCAACATCATGAGCACAGATCAATGCAATTGGGATACGATGACGTGTCAACCCAGCCTGACCACCTGATCCTGTTAGTCGCCTCGTACAACAAGTATGGGTTACTGAAGATCAATTCTAACAGGATCTTCATGGGTCAAAAACATTTACAGGTGTAAACATGTCTCCATGTTTATTTATATTCATAATTATACTTATGATGTCAAAAAAAGTACAGGTTGGCTTGGAGTATAACGTAACTGACTTGGGTATCAATGTTACCGGAGGCATGGTATGTCAGTGTGCTGGCACAGTACAACCAGCATTGGTCCAGAGTTGTCCAGTCAGCTCCACACATGTGTGAGTGAGTGAGTGAGTTTAGTTTTACGCCACACTCAGCAATATTCCAGCTATATGGTGGCGGTCTGTAAATAATCGAGTCTGGACCAATCAACAGCAGGAGCATCGATCTGCGCAATTGGGAACCAATGACAATGTGTGAACCAAGTCAGCGAGCCTGACCACCCAATCCTGTTAGTCGTCACACATGTGTATTCACATCACAATATAAGTGCAACAATTCAGCTGAATGCAACATTACATCCCATTTCACAGCACACACACATGTCATGCTTTCAACCTTCATCTCTAAAAGACATACGGAAAATTGAAATCTGACCCCTCAATTTTCAAACACAAATAAAACATGAAATTTAAAGTTTAGGCATTACCACAGCAATAACTAACACAATATATTTCAAGGTCTCACAGCTATTGGTAGACTAACACTTAGTTTCTGATAGAAACAAATAATTATTGAAATTTGAAAAGGAGCCCCAGTGAGATGAGGAGATTCAGAACCTGAAGAAATCTAGACTTGCTTCATTGCAGAAAGGGCTGAACGGGAGTTCAAATAATGTGGTTCTGGGACTGTAAGACAGACTAAACTATGGTAACCGTTAGTGTTGGGAATTGGTTAAAATCTCATAATTGATGATTGGTTCATTACCACCGATCAATCATCGAAAATAATTGGTTAGCGCCATTTATGAAATTTGTTAATACACAAAAAATACAGAAAAAAACATGTAGTTCTTTGGGGTTTTTTTGGCAAAATTTCACATCTTTAAAGGATGACTAGTATGTTAGGAACATGAATTTCTTAGAGTCTTTAAGATAAATTCAATCATGACTTGGAACGAGCTTGTAGTGCTTATGAAATGTAACAGACAAAACCAACCTAGTGAAAAATACTGTTAATGAAAACAAGTGTTCCAGAATTGTTTGTGTTCGATTATGAGAAAACATGATCGATTGCTTGGTCGTTTAGTCACTACGACCAATCTTCGAATATTTCAATTAATCGGACCACCACTAGTAACCGTCATCATCAGGGGTTATAATAACTACAGCTACAACTAATGCTAGTTAGTGAACATCTTATAGCCTGTAGCTAACCTGTATTTTACCTAGCATGTGCCACCTGGGCATCAAGAAGGCTTTGATTCCTTGGACGGCGCCGTCGATATGGCACACAGCAATGAAGATGGTGAACAGGAGGACAAAGGGCGCAATAGCTGTGAAGTATGCTACCTGGAACACGAGGTCAGTGAGTGAGTGAGTGTAGTTTCAAACAGCTATACTGATCAAAAGAAGTTAAAGAATATCCACAATAAGAGTGAGTGAGTGAGTGGGTACGGTTTTACATTGTATTTAGCATTATTCCAACGGGGGACACCATAGGGTTTAACACATTGTACCCATGTGGGGAATCGAACCAGGTCTTTGGTGTGATGCGCTTAACCACTAGGCTACCACGTACCCCATAATAAGAAGGCTGTGTTACAATATCCACCAACCATCACAGATTAACTACAGTGGGTGTTCCTTAACTTTTTTTTGAGTAGCATGTAGCAATATTCTAGCAGTATCACATCAGATATATTGTGAACACTTCAAGCACTAGCCTCCCACACTGTCTGCCAAAAGAAATATCCCATCATGAGGGCTGGCTACTGATGAAGATCATAGAGACTGATAACTGTAAACTAAATACTGATTGACTATTGATAAACAACAATATTGTTCATGAAAGATTTGAAAGATTAAAAGGTCTGAAAGAAATCAATATGTTTCTTGCCACTGGTGCATCATGACATATTTATGCATGGATTAATTAAAAAAAAACACTTTCTGAACATTGTATGTTGGTTGGTTGGTTGGTTTAATGCCACACTCAGCAATATTCCAGGTCTGTAAATAATCGAGTCTGAACCAGACAATCCAGTGATCAACAGCATGAGCATCGTTCTACGCAACTGGGATGGCATGTGTCAACCAAGTCAGTGAACATGATCAGTCGCCTCTTACAAATATTATATTATTATTATTATAATAGGATATTTATATAGCTTACATATCCACGCACTAGTGCATGCTCAAGGCGCTGGTATTTTTCCCCTCGATCATTGGATATCAATTTCAACAGCACATCGCATTAACAATCTCAACTCCCTGGGGAGTATACAACTCTTGCAGCCACTAGGCGCACCGAGTTATTGTGGCTTTCTCATCCTAAAAAGCATTGGTTGATGAAGACCAATTCTAACCTGGATCTTCACATCACATGTGATACACATTGGTGCACTGAACTGATTTGACTAAAATGAGTGTGGATTGGTTATCTTTTTGTGGTTATCTGTGACTTTTGTGTGACATTGTGTGTGCATGTGTGATAATTTTGTCTGTCTCATGTGACAGCGTTGTGTGGTGTCATGAGTGGCTGTTTTGTGTGAAAAGTTGGTGTGATCATTTTGTGTGAGATCCTGAGTGATATTTTGTTTGATGCCATGTGACAATCTTGAATGGTGTGTAGTGTGGCAATTTTGTGTGACTATATTGCGATGTTGTGTGTGACTGACTGATTTGTGTGATGTCATGTGTTACATGATGTTTTCCAGTTAAGCATGACAGTTCAGCATGACAGTTCGGTGTGATGGTCTCTCAATTTGTTATGTGAATGAGTGAGTGAGTATGGTTTTATGCCGCTTTCAATATTCCAGCAAAATCATGGCAGGGGGCACACATTGTACCCATCTGGGGAATCGAACTAGGGTCTTCCGCGTGACGAGTGCACACTTTAACGACTAGGCTACCCCACCGCACCCTTTGATGTGTGTGCTGCTGTGTTGAGAGACTGTGATGTTTTCCCGTCGTCGCTGCCTACCTTGCCCATGGAATGTGGTCCCCAGATGATGATGACGGCTGCAGCAAGCCAGACAAGTAACAAACACACAACCAGGTGGAGCTGCAACTGACCGGTATCTGAGAGCCCATCTGATACGTTTAATACATCCTTACTGGAACAACCAATGGTAAACAGCAAAGGTAATATTCCTACATGTGGGAATATGAACTAATATTCTTGAATCAGGGGGTATTTGGCTCATTAACATCTGCTTCAGTACCATGAAATACTCTAAGCCAGAGTGAGTGAGTGAGTGAGTTTGGTTTTATGCTGCTTTTAGCAATATTCCAGCAATATCACGGCAGGGGACACCAGAAATGGGCTTAACACATTGAACCCATGTGGGGAAATCGAACTTGGGTCTTCGGTGTGACGAGCAAACACTTTAACCACTAGGCTACCCCACTGCCCCTCTAAGCCAGAGAGTGATACAGGGAAAAGTACATCTTTATATTACAGGCATGAGGTACTGGAAATCCATTCTGACCCCCAACATGAAATGTGTAATAGGATTAATAGATATACTATTTGATATTCCACTTACAAGAAATAGTTTTCAGCTATTTTTAATTTTTGAGGTACTACTTCTATATCTGAGTTGTTCCTGCCGATTTCCACCACATCTGGTAGTGTTTCCAGTAGTGTAGAAGACGCCTTCGAGGAAGTACCTGAAACATACCACAGCATCAACAGCATGTATTTATGTTCACTCTTGCACCGACATTCATATATTTAGTGCTTTACTTTTAATTATATATTTGCAAAGTTGAAAGTGATGTGAAGCCAACATTATTACACTAGTTTGCAAGTAGTTAATTAGGGAACCAGGAAATCACTGGGCTACCCATCCTCATTGTACCAATATTGAGCATCAAACCCAGGCATTTAGGTGTCATTAACCTACTCTTTAACCACTGGACTACCCATTCCCTTTGTACCAATATGGGGAATCAAACCAAGGTCTTTTGGTGTGATGAACATACACTTTAACCCATGAGCTAACCACCCCCAATCCAGAAATACAGAAAATCAAAAGCAGGCCTTCAGTGTGATATGCATACACTTAAATTACTTAGCTATCAACACCTATTGCACCAATATTGCAATTCGAACCATACCACTTAGCTAACCATATCAACTGTACTAATATAGAGAATCAAAGCCAGGCCTTTTGGTGAGACGAGTAGACACTTCAACCACTTGGCCAACCATCCCAATTGTACCCATATAGATTCAAATCCAGGCCTTTTGGTGAGAAGAGTAGACACTTCAACCTCTTGGCTAACCATCAAAATTGTATGAATATAGAGAATCAAACCCAGGCCTATTGGTGAGACGACACTTCAACCCACTTGTCCCAATTGTAGGACGAGTGACACTTCAACCACTTGGCCAACCATCCCAATTGTATACAGAATTCATAGAGAATCAAACCCAGGCCTCATTGTATGTGAGGCCAGTAGAGACACTTCAACCACTTGGCCAACCATCACAGTTGTATGAACATAGAGAATCAAACCCAGGCCTATTGTTGAGACGAGTAGACACTTCAACCACTTGGCCAACCATCACAGTTGTATGAACATAGAGAATCAAACCCAGGCCTATTGTTGAGACGAGTAGACACTTCAACCTCTTGGCCAACCATCACAGTTGTATGAACATAGAGAATCAAACCCAGGCCTATTGTTGAGACGAGTAGACACTTCAACCACTTGGCCAACCATCACAATTGTATGAACATAGAGAATCAAACCCAGGCCTATTGTTGAGACGAGTAGACACTTCAACCTCTTGGCCAACCATCACAGTTGTATGAACATAGAGAATCAAACCCAGGCCTATTGTTGAGACAGTAGACGAGTAGACACTTCAACCTCTTGGCCAACCATCACAGTTGTATGAACATAGAGAATCAAACCCAGGCCTATTCTTGAGACGAGTAGACACTTCAACCTCTTGGCCAACCATCACAGTTGTATGAACATAGAGAATCAAACCCAGGCCTATTGTTGAGACGAGTAGACACTTCAACCTCTTGGCCAACCATCACAGTTGTATGAACATAGAGAATCAAACCCAGGCCTATTGTTGTGACACTGCAACCTCTTGGCCAGAATAGAGAATCAAACCCAGGCCTATTGTTGAGACGAGTAGACACTTCAACCACTTGGCCAACCATCACAATTGTATGAACATAGAGAATCAAACCCAGGCCTATTGTTGTGATGGGTATGCACTTCAACCACTTGGCCAACCATCCCAACTGTACCGATATACAGATTCAAACACAGACCTTTAGGTGTGACAGGCACACACTTTAACCCATGAGCTATACAGCCCAACACCTTCATCCTGAATGGATAAGGCCAGACTGGTCACATATAAACATGGCTGCATGGATATGAGCAAAATATATCACTGAATACAAAAGCATGTCCTATGTTGAACACATCATTTTCACCAACTATTTATGGTCAGCAGAGACAGTACTGAATGAATATGGACCATGCTGCTGTTTTATTCATGTAGAGGCGAAAAACAAATTCCAGCATGAAGAAAGAGATTGAATATTGCTTAACACTTCATCACCATATTGCCGACAATTTGCTGCCCAAAAGGTCGACTGGGAATGATAGGGTCTGGAAAATCGGTAAGTTTCATGCAGAAAAACATGTGGGACTCACTAGCTGCATGTTCCAGACACAGACGTTGATGATACACTAGCAGTACTGGAGGTATGGAACAGATTCATGTGGCACTGTAGCTCACCTCACAGAAATGGCTCTACAGTGATTTGTGTTGAGCATCTCCTTGAACAGTATTGACAACTTTAGTATTGGCTGCTCTGATACCAAACTGCCATGCTATTAAACCTTAATCTAATCTCCTCATCCTAATACTTCAAGAAATGATGAGGATCATGAAATGATGATGATGATGGATGGTGGTGATGATGATGATGATGATGATGATGATGATGATGATGATGATGAGGAGGAGGAGGAGGATGGTGATGATGATGATGATGATGATGATGGTGGTGGTGGATGATGGTGGTGGTGGTGATGATGATGATAAGTGATGATGATGAGTTGGGTTTTGACACCACTTTGAGCAATATTCCAGCAATATCAGAGGGACACCAGAAATGGGCGTCACATATTGTACCCATGAGGGGACTTGAACCCGGGTCTTCAGCGTGATGAGCGTTAAAGGCGAACGCTCTAACCACAGGGCTACCCCACGGCCCCTGATTGGGATGATGATGATGATGATGCACAACACTTCTGCCACTATGGATAATGCAGATGGCTGTAGTGATGGGGAGTGTACACATTCTCCAAAAGGTTCTTTGTGTGTTCTACTAAGCTGCACTTCCTGGAAGAACTGTCTGGGTGAGTGAGTGAGTGAGTTAAGTTTTACATAGCACTCTGCAATATTCCAGCTATATGGCGGCAGTCGGTAAATAATCGATTCTGGACCAGACAATCCAGTGATCAACAACATGAGCATCGATCTGCGCAATTGGGAACCGATGACAAGTGTCAACCAAGCCAGCGAGCCTGACCACCCGATCCCGTTAGTCGCCTCTTACACTGCATGGGTTACTGAAGGTTCATTCTAACCCAGACCTTCACGGGTTCACTGTCCGGGCTGCATGTATAGGGGGCAAGGGCCCTGCGCTGATGATGAGCCTAACCAGCCTGACTCTGCCAAGATTACCTGAACCATCATTGCTTATCTTTTCTATTTACTTTATTATTGTAGTGCATCAATGTAACTTAATATCCATTCTCAACTCCCTGGGAAGTATACAATCCAAGCGGCCTGTACCTCACAGAAGGTGAACAGTCACATCACCCTCACATTACATACAACTGGTTACCCATTCGCTATTTCAGCGAATGGTAGGATGAAATCCCTGAAAACTCTCAGAAGTGATGACCTCTCAGAAGCCAAAATGGTCATCCATCCAAGTACTCTGCCCTACCAACATTGCAATCTTCATTTGTTGCCTGATCAGTGTCTATCAAATCCACTTTATTACCGAACCTTCATTTACGAAACAGACATTTATCAAACCTTCAGCCAAAGATCTAGTACTAACCCTTCAACAAATCACAAATGACTGAACCTTTTACAAACTGTCAGGTACAAACCTTTAGCAAACTGACAACTACCAAACTTTGCCTGATTACTACCATATTCATGCTAAGAAAACAGCAATCTTGAAATGACAGCTTTTGTCTCTTTTTCACCTACCAGTCCACACATAACTTGAAATAACTTGAACATCATAATAACATCTGGAGAATTAGAAATATACAAAATACAAGATAATTTGATCAATGACAAAAATTCATCATCAACACTGAAACTGATTCAGATCTCTTTGTTAATCAATAGTGGCAGACAGAACATGATCATCCAAGATTGATATTATCAGTTTCTTTCTTAACTACATAGAATTATGTGTGGGAGGCCACAGACTATTGGGGAATTTGGATATATAATACATGACTCATTTTCAGTGAAACGATCTGGGAATCAATGTGGATGCCCCTGGCTGAAGTATATCAATTCAAATCATTCCTATTTCTCAATCTGTCTTCAATCTATTCAGTGACAAACATGGCCTGTTTGCCAACATGGTACACCACCATTGTCCACTTCCCACGTAACACCTACACCCAAAATCTTCAGAAAAGGCGATTTTACACATTAACAGAATGACTGTTTGCTGAAAACTAGCCAGGATCAATGTGTGCTAGGACCCAGCAGCTCAGACCCATTACCACAAACAAGTTGGATGAAGCCGTGCAATTAGACATAAGCGTATAAAATCGCTCAGATTTCCACGGATATTAGGGGTCGATTACTTACTTTGACTCTGAACCCAATGACATACATGAATCCACATTGAACTGTTAACCACTTGACTTCTACTAAATCATTAAAAACCCAAAATAATCAATAACAGTGTGGCTATTTGTTTTTCAAATAAAGGTTAAAGTTTTAACTTGGATAACCAAACATACTATACAATATTAGGGACATCAGTCTCTTTCTATTCAATATAATTTCTACATTTACACAAAATGAACCCAATAAAGTAATTCTGTTAACAAATCCAGAAAATTTAAGAATTCAATTCCAGTCAGTACCGGTAAGACCTTTAAAAGTAAAATGGTGAACAAATACCTTATTCAAATTTTTCCTCCACATATTCATTTCAATCTGTGACTTAAGGGGTTAAAATGAGTTAATCAGGGCTAATGCGTAGAAAAGAAACACTGGTTATAGATTTCACGCCATAGGGGATTGATGATATAATAAGTTTAACACTTCTCTTGTTAAGTTAACGCATACCCCTTTGATTTTACGAGAAATATAGGTGCTCTATCATATTCACTTTCAAAGATTATACACCTATGGGAATTAGCCATAAAACCTTTTCCAACATAGTAATGTATATGCATGAGCGAATACTGAATTGCTTTGCCTGAGCAGTCAATATTTTTCCCCTGATACTCGTGGCACTTAAGTAACCCTGTTTCTTTCATTACGGAACACAGATGCTGTGTTATGAGCTCACATAAAAGGCATGTATGTGTTGGGTTTCATGACTAATTCAATATGGTTTCATTTAGGATTCAAGGGAGTGTTGTTTCAAGCTGGGGAAAACATTCAGTGAATATGTTGGTTGGCTGGTTTGTTGTTTAACGCCACACTCAGCTATATGGAGGCAGTCTGTAAATAATCGATTCTGGACCAGACAATCAAGTGATCAACATCATGAGCATCTATCTACGCAATGTGTGAACCAAGGCAGCAAGTCTGACTGCCTCATCCCATTAGTCGTCTCTTATGACAAGCATGGGTTATTCAGTGAATATGATAATCTGCAAACTGAATGAGTATTTGAAAGGGCCAAAAGCTTGAAATAATCTGAACTATGGGTATTACAGCTGTGTTTTAGACCCTTTGTGAGTCCAGGGCCAAGGTTTTCAAAGCTCTCTTAGAACTAAGATAGTCGTAAGTTAATGTTAATGTATGGCACTTGCCACTATCTTAACACTATGAGAGCTTCGAAAATCTAGGGCCAGAGCTCAAGGCTCAAAGCTCAAAGCTTCAGTATATACAATCTGATCTATATCAAATGAAGTTTTGAATTAAATTGAATACATTTATTAAAAACAATTTTACAAAGCCAGAATACAGAATAACTGTTAAAATAAACCTCTGTACAAGATCTATGTGTGAATTTTGCACAAGAAATAATCCTGTAATGTTCGAAAACTAAGGGATGATGGTGTTAAGGGGCACAGGTAACCCGAGACCATCAGATCCTGGCATGACAAAGGGACATAACTCTGGAAGAACAACCATGTCAGATGCCTTGGCCAACTCTTTTCCCAACACTACAAAACTGTGTTGAGTGTAGGAGTGAGTGAGTGAGTTTAGTTTCACGCCGTTTTAGCAATATTCCAGGAATATCATGGCATTGGACACCAGAAATGGGCTTCACACATTGTACCATGTGGGGAATCAAACCCGGGTCTTCGGCGTGATGAGCTAACGCTTTAACCACTAGGCTACGCCACCGCCTGATGAGAGTAAGAGACATATTCTGCCTGGAATACCTACAAGCCATAGACACCATGAAAACATGATCACACTCTGAAACACTCCAGAACTATTTCTGATGGGTTTAGCAAAGAATTCAACAAATTTTCCAAGGAATAGCATTGTTTTCTCCACAGAGCAGGTTGCAAGACATCTTGATCAAGACCATTCCACTGAGGTTAGATGAAACAATGATATCTCAGCATCTAAGGCACAGGAATTTCTCCAGATAAATACAGCAGGCACACCACTTGCTTCCTTCTGTTTCATGTCCGAATTTGATACTAGCCATACAAATGTCAAGACAGATTTCCTCACAAACACAGACATTTATCTTGCCCAAATCACTATCAATAACCTGTAAGACATATATGTTTTTGTGTTTAAACATTCCCGATTTTCTTTGATTTTCTAAACATTCATATTCATTGCTAGAATATACTGGTAGGTCACTAAGCCTCTCCTTCTATTGAACAAATAATAGCGTGTTATTGTACAATTGTCTCACATGAAATGCACAAGCATTTAAATTATTTATGAAGCATCTTTATATAGTTAGTTTTTTGTGCCCTTAAGTCAATAGTCTTATTATCTGTGTAAGGTGTTTGTTGATAGAGGACAATTTGAATTTAATTTAATAATTAATTCAGCTGTTACTTTTAATAGGTATAACAATCACATAAGTACAGTCTTTCTTCAAACACAATGACCTACTCGATCTATTGACTCTGGACAAGAAGACATAGTAGACCAGTGGTCTAAGGTGCCACAGTTTGCTATACAGAGTTGAAGGCCTTGTTTATGCCTGGATCCGCTGATCAAGTTTTCAAACCTCAGATTTGTCTGATTATGATCCTTGATCTGTCAGTACCATTCCTCTTCCCTCTTTGAGTGTTTCATACCGATTCCTTTAGTCAGTGGTTGCCCGGCTAGTTAATTTGTTATTTAATAATGTTAAATTGTTTAGATTTATTTTTTCACATTATCAGTTTCCAACAAAGAACATGACAAACACGGATCCAAGTGAAATAAAATGATTGGGTTATGTAACTCTGTGTTTTTGTAAATCATTTGTTGAATGTTTGGTCTGTAAGTAGTAAAGTCTTGATAAGACAATCCAGTGATTGACATCATGAGCACCAATCTACACAATTGGGATATGATAACATATACTCATGCCAATAATGGTTGTCACCCCCCTCCCCACCCCAACCTCACACACACCGCACACCCACACCCCCTCTCCAATTAAAAAAATTGAAGGGGGTGACAACCTTTATTGGCATGAGTATACATCAATCAAGTCAGCAGTCAATCAATTAGTCAGCTTAAATGACAAGCCTGGGTTGTTGAAGATAATGTATTTATATCAGATGGTCAATAATACTTACGGGGACAGGTGACTGTATTGAGAAGCACCTACAGTCAATGAGTTTGGTTTAATGGAAATAAGCAATAAAAAGCAAACCAAGATTGACTGGTTGGTTGATTGGTTGATTGATTCCAAACTCTGCAATAGTCAAGCTCTATAATAGCACTGTAAATAATCCTGTTGGACCAGACAATCCAGTGACTGATACCATGAACATTGGTCTTCACAATTACAATACTATCAATCAAGTTGGAGAGCCTGACCACTGATTCATTTGGTAGCCTGTTACAATCAGCAAGGTTACTGAGGGCTATGTTAGAACCCCAAATCCTCACCGTTCTCAGTCTCAACAGTTGAAGAGAATGAAGCACAAACACCCATGGCAAAAAATGAGAAACAAAGGTCCACCATTACACCAGCCAACTAAAGGAAGGTAACTGTGACAAAGGCTATCAAATCTTTCCAGATAAAGGTGTCTGTATTTATACTATAACTAAAGGCACGATACAAAAGAAATGTGACATATACCTGTGAGATCAGCATGCCAGGGTAGAAGGCTGTTCATAGATGCGAACCAATAGTAGAGAGTCCAGGCAATATATGTGTTATTGTACAGCGTGAATAACGCTGAAACCAGGACCATGCTGTAGCCCATCCCTGAAACAGTAATGGTTGATATTGCTGGAATGTTGCTAAATACAGTGTAAAACAATATATGCCAAATAGAGACATGCTTCTGTAGGTAGGTATTTGTGAAGCAGGAATTATTTCCATGCTGATACTAAATGCTATCTGGGACACCCCAGAAATATCTAAATTTTATAACCAACATGAAGTTATTACCTGTAGACCAGTAAGGTCAGATTACAGTCAGTTGTCGACCACAGAGCTGTGAGCCACTCGAGATAATGGAGTGAACTGAGGACACCAAGAAATGGCCACATGCTGTAACCACATGAGGAATTAAACTCACCCCTAAGCAAGATGGACCAACACATTAACCATTAACCTACCCAAATGTACATAGCAGGTGAATGGTCCACAAACCATGTTACACCAGAATGAAGTAATAGTAAAAAATATAACAAGAAATGGAATGTCATTCAAGAATTAAATGAACCAGTATAATTGCTAAAAGAAAAATGAAGTCAAATCTTCCTTGAACTACAGATTCTAAATTAAACCTGATGCAGGTCTTGGACATTACCACTATAGTGTAACACATGGGCATGGCACTAACTAATGAGAACTGGGATTTAAATCCCAAATCTTTTGTTTTTGGTTCTTGAGGTATCGGGGAGGTGGGGTAGCCTAATGGTTAAAGCGTTGGCTCGTCATGCCGAAGACCCGGGTTCGAATCCCCACATGGGTACAATGTGTGAAGCCCATTTCTGGTGTCCCCCGCCGTGATGTTGCTGGAATATTGCTAAAAGCGGCGTAAAACCAAACTCAGTCAGTCAGTCAGTCTTGAGGTATCCCATCAGCACAGCAAGCTGCACAACTTAGATACTTTGGTTACAGCAGTATCATGAGGGTATACCTGGTTAAATGTCTCCTGCATTACAATTTATGACCTAAGTGAAATCTTTCGAGGAATGACTGACTGACTGACTGAGTTTGGTTTTATGCCACTTTTAGCAATATTCCAGCAACATCACGGCGGGGAACACCAGAAAAGGGCTTCACACACTGTACCCATGTGGGGATTCGAACCCGGGTCTTCGGCGTGACGAGCCAACGCTTTAACCATTAGGCTACCCCACCGCCCCTTCGAGGAATGAGCATAAAACAACATATATCCTTTGTGATACTGCTACAACAAAATTTATCTTTCCAGCATGTTTCAAATCTGCCCTGAATTCAAACAAATTGAATGCTGTTTGACTGCCACATGACTTCCACATATATTGAACAATGTGCAGCTATTTGCTTCATGGAAAGGTACAAGAAACTGCGGTCCTGTTGAGAAATCAACATGTTGCCTGTTTTATCATGGTGGGAATAAGTGGCTGATTATCCCACTCTGAAATTTATTTCCCTCCCAGGAATTATATCGAGATCCTATGAACCAATCAGATCTCCATATTCTCATATGGAGGTAAGATAAGAAAGGTTATGTTTAAACAATAGCAATAAAACCATGGGCAAAGGTCTGTTTATAAAGCAGCCAACCCCAACACCATCAGGAACAGCCACTTCTTTGGCCCTTACTGTTAAATGAAATATATTCCATATATATCAGCACAGATGTTTGGTTAATTCAATACTGTAGCCAGTAGGGTCAGAAGCTCACCTGTCACAAATATGCATCTGTTAGGCTATTCACAAAACATTATAATAACAAACTAATATGTTTATCAGAAAATCCAGAGAAATTTCGCTTTTCATTTTGTTGATGAACTTACAAGAAGTCTTGTGAAAGAATGATTAAATTCAGTGTTAAATGTTCCTTTTTACCAGGTTTTATATTTGATTTGTGTCAAATATTGCATTTCATGATGTTTTAAGAACTTAACCTAAACTAGTAATGAGAATTTATGACAGATTAATATTCCCAACTAATATTTGATTTATTTAATCAAAAACAGAAACAGATTCCTTTTTCTGTTGTTCACAACCTTCATAACTGATTGTTTGGGAAAATCCTAGGAATCCCTCAATAGATAAAATGTTGGTCTGTAAATACACACAAATTTAAGAAATTCTCCTTATGTTTTCTCCTAACAATTCCACTTTATTTCTACTGAGAAAAATTGTCCAATTATAATACTTTCAGTTGACATTTCAATGATTCCCCTCTGTACACCCATCATGCTCAAAACCAGTCCTAACCTGATGAAAGAACCCCATATTTCATGACATGTCACCAACAATTCTGGATCCTGTTCTCGACACCGCTATTAATGGTCTTGCAATAAACACGTAGTATATTGACCCAAAGACCATTTCCACTGTTATTGGATTACCCACAGTGCTGTTCATGTCTTCCTGACAATCCCAGGCTAAACGATCGCTGACTTGACTACAAAATGATCCAGTCGAGTCACCAATTCTCTCCCATGATGCATTCTGTCAGACGCAGTGTGGACATCTATATCGCTGCCAATTCAGTAAGCACCAAGAGGAGATTGACCTCCAGGCTGGACGCTGGTTCCCCTTAACTAATCCTCAGCAAGACACCATGGGCACTTAGTCAGACATGGGGTTATTGCTTCATTAAAGATGTACATCACTTGAGGAGACAGGCAGGATTGTTGTCAACAAGATGTGACTGTCATGGTCATCTACACACACACTTATTCCTTCTGTCTTTGCCTTCAAAGCCATATTACATATACATTTTATTTATGGTTTCTTCTTTTTTTAAGTCAGTAATATTTCAATTTATCACAGAGAATTACTTTAGTAATTGAAGGATTGATAGAATGGCATCGGGAGATTGATCTACTTAGTTATCTCTGACAAAACAGTTTGCTGGGAACCTATATTCTTAGCCGCCTGTGAAGATCCGGGTTAGAATTGATCTTCAGTAACCATGCTTGTCGTAAGAGGCGACTAACGGGATCGGGTGGTCAGGTTCGCTAACATGGTTGACACATGTCATCGGTTCCCAATTGCACAGATCTATGCTCATAGTGTTGATCACTGGATTGTCTGGTCAAGACTCGATTATTTACAGACCGCTGGAATTTTGCTGAGTCTGGCATAAAACTAAACTCACTCACTATATTCTTAACCAGAATTCAACACATTGATGTTTGATATATACTGTTTATAAAAAATTTTCTTTACAAAAATTAACAATGGTTGATCTCATAACATTCAATCATTAAGTAACAACAGTGTCTTACTAAACAAATTCACACAGTCCAAAAAGTGAGGCTCTTTCTAAATACTCATGCCAATAATGGTTGTCACCCCCCTCCCCCTCCAACCCCACACACACCTCACACCCCCACTCCCTCTCCAATTAATAAAATTGAAGGGGGTGACAACCATTATTGGCATGAGTATATTTTGATACAGTTTATTATCTGATATCATATTCTGTTGAATATTTGTATTTCTTCAAACAACTTTCTTTTCTTTTATCAAAAAAAAAGCTTTTGCAAATTTTATGTAATTTGATTTCTATTTCACAACATTTAATGTCCTTACTTAAATCCTGGAATTCTCAAAGAATACCTTATGTGCACTAACACGCTGCATGACCCTGATGCACTAGAACTGTTTCTAGGTTTATCAGTTTGAAAGGGCATTGCTTCTTTATGTTGTCGATGATGCCATTTAAATTTCTTACATATTTTTCTGAATCTTTCAAATCACATAGGTGACCTTTAGACGATTTGAGAAATGACAGATAAGTTACAATATAAGTGTAAAAACGTGTACTTTGTCAAGGCTGATATATCTGGAGCTTCGTGCAGACACAATACGTTCTTCTGTTCATAAGTGTACTTAAGTATGATCTACCTAATGTAGTAGGTAATCAATATAACTATTTTATTGACATATTCTTCTAATAAGTGATATTCTAACAACATAAGTGAGTGAGTTGGGTTTTACACCTCTTTTAGCAATATTTCAGAAATATGACAACAGAGGATTTTCTAAATGGGGTTATATAGTACACATTGGAATCAAACCCAGACTGAGTGCCTGAACCACAGGGCCATACCACTGCCTCTAATAGTAATATATAGGCCATTGACACATTTCTACACTGTCACACTTTCACCAATGTAAAGACCTGAAACATAACTTGAACATATGAGTAGACCTAAATAATTTCATTCAGTGTGCTTTTGGCAGACATTCTAGACATAACAAAACTCAGAGGAAAAACAATTAAAACATAAAATTGATTGCCAGTCAATCAGGCAGACATTTTATAACCTAAGAGTTATTTTTGACATTCTTTCTTTCATAACAATCCCAATTATTTCAATACAAATCTTGAAACTTTTACTTGAACACAGAGTTTAGTTCACTTTTGGGGCAAAAAGGTTGAAGAGTTCACAAAAGAATTTAGCAGGACAACTCCACCAAAGGGTAGCATGTTTATCTCACAGTACTACAAAACTGTTACATTTCAAACTGACACACCTGAAACCGTTAGTCTGTAAATGGCACTGAACAGGTGAAGAAATAAACATTGAACAATAAAAACATTACGACTGATTGCATGGAACCAAATTCCACTCCTACAATCAATATAATCAGGCTTAATGTCTTCTGAGATATTCTAGGAAGGACTGCCTCCCACAAGAGGCGCCATGAATATGGTGCCCTGAGCAAAACAGCTCCACAAGTTTTACACCTAATCCTGTTTAAATCATCATCCTTCTCATTGACAGGCAGTCATTATCACCAGTGGCGATAATTTTCGTGAAATGCTTGTTTCAACAATTTGGACATTTTGACACAGAAACATCCACCTTGCTCTCACATCTGAATGCTAAATTAGACAGCCAGTTTCTATCAATTTAGGATATGTACTTTTCTTGGCAGGTTGGGTTGTAAACCTGACTAGACATCCAGAGTTAGACATTGATTCAACTATTGGAGTGATTGTAAAAAAGGTTTCTTTCAAAATAGTTTGAGGCTGGAATATTCTGTAAGGATGGGATACTTTCATCAGGTTTTGGCACCAGAGG